ATCTGTTAGCTCAGTCTTAATTATCATAAATCCATATATTTTATAAGGCTTATCTGATGCCTTCCATTGGCGTCCTTATCTCGGGCTCACATGGTGACTCTGGAGGAAGAGCGAAGGGGCCCACCTCCTTCTTGCCCTTGTTTATATAGGAGTCTCCCTGCCATGTCACTTCCTGCCTGGATCACCACTTCTCTACTACATTTCCCAGAATCCTGCTTGACTCCTAGTTCCACCTAACTTGCTGCCTCATTGGCCAACAGTACTTTAGTCAACAATCAGTAAGATGAACATACACAGAAGCACCGTCCCCATCAGAGATGGCTCAGCAGCTAAAAGCAGCACCGGCTGCTGTTGTGACGCCAGCAGATGTCCAGCACGTGTTGGCTTACAACTGCCTGTGACTCTAGTTCCAGACCGATGGCTTCTGTGGCCTCCATGAGCAGCAGGCACACAGGTGGGGTGCAGATACACCCGCAACATAAAACAAATAGATTTAGAAGGAATATACACACAGTGCATATTCTGAAGGGTGCCGACAACTGGAGGTCCTCTCCAGTGCTTACAGACGACTCACATCTAACCCTGCCTCCCCCCGTGCACACAGGAAGGGACACAGGAGGCTGCGGACCTTCCATGGGCGCCCGCGGGGCCCACGGCAGGAGGCGGTCTCCTCGCCATGCTGGCGAATTCTCAGTTCAAGAGAGAACGAGGCCAGACAGGAGCGCAGGTGCACAGTGCTCACAAGACCGCAGGTGCACAGTGCTCACAAGACCGCAGGGGCACAGTGCTCACAAGACCGCAGGGGCACAGTGCTCACAAGACCGCAGGGGCACAGTGCTCACAAGACCGCAGGGGCACAGTGCTCACAAGACCGCAGGGGCACAGTGCTCACAAGACCGCAGGGGCACAGTGCTCACAAGACCGCAGGGGCACAGTGCTCACAAGACCGCAGGGGCACAGTGCTCACAAGACCGCAGGGGCACAGTGCTCACAAGACCGCAGGGGCACAGTGCTCACAAGACCGCAGGGGCACAGTGCTCACAAGACCGCAGGGGCACAGTGCTCACAAGACCGCAGGGGCACAGTGCTCACAAGACCGCAGGGGCACAGTGCTCACAAGACCGCAGGGGCACAGTGCTCACAAGACCGCAGGGGCACAGTGCTCACAAGACCGCAGGGGCACAGTGCTCACAAGACCGCAGGGGCACAGTGCTCACAAGACCGCAGGGGCACAGTGCTCACAAGACCGCCACCTCTATTCTTTCAAACCAAACTTTATTAGAGTGTGCGCTTCCCGGTGTGCACACGGTCTACACTGTGAGGACCCTTCCCGGTGTGCACACGGCCTGTCTACACTGTCTGCCCTCCGTCACCGCGGGCAACGAGACCGGACCTCCCGAGAACCGGAAGAGCCCCGCTCGCTCGTTAAGAGCGGCGTCCGTTCCTAACTCGTCCGCGGGCGGGCGAAAATCCGCGTGCA